GGTATCTCTTGGAATTAATGTGTTGAGAGGCCTACAAATGGGCCCTCACTACCCACTGTCTACAATATTGATCAGCACCATTGTTGTTACTAGCACAATCTTACAAAGTGAGAGTCCTGGAGTAAATGCAATAGCATTAAGAGTGCTCTAGGGCCAGGATCTGAAAAGGAAGGCAGCAGGAATTTCTATAACAGTATGTTCCTAGAGGAGTCTTTGGCCAGGAATTCAAATGAGCAGATCCTTTTTCTGAAACAATGTTTTCTGACTTTATTTTTTGATAACTCTATAAAAAATTGCTGTTCATTGCAAAATAAGCAAAGAAATAACATACAGCAGAAAGAGATTTTCTTTTATATTCCTAATCCTTGTCCCCAAAGGTAACTACTTATGTATGCACATTTTGCCAGGCTTTATTTATGTAACATATATACACACTTTTAAATTTCATTTTGATTTTTATAATGATGAGATCATAACTATATGCCTTTTTGGAAAATACTTTATTCACTAATCAACATGTCAAGGACAGCCTTCTTACCAACTCACTTAGACCTACCTACTTCATTCTTTGACCTGGACACATTCATATTATTTATGTATTATAACTTCTTAACCATTCCTTTATTGATATAAATTTTGACCATTTGAAATTTTTGTGCTTACCAGTAGCTCTGTAACTATAATCCTGTTAAAGTCTTAAGTACTTGTGCAGATGCATGAAATTTTATTTTGCTGGTTATTCCTAAAGTGCTTTAAACAGGTATTTATTCACACTTTCTCCAACTTTATAAGTACCTATTTCTCCACAGCTGTGTCAACACTGGATTGTATCCATTCTTTAACTTTTTCTAACATGATATGTGTGTTAGTTTGCTAGGGTGGCCATAATAAAGTACCACAAACTGAGTTAGCTTAAACAACAGAAATTTATCATCTCACAATTGGGGAGGCTAGAAGTCTGAGATCAAGGTGTTGACAGGGTTGGTTTCTTCTGATGGCTGAACTTGTCACATGTTCCTTCCCTAGCCCCTGGTGGTTGTTGGCAATCTTTGGTATTCTTTGGCTTATAGAATCATCACCCTTATCTCTGTCTTTATCTTTACATGATATGATATTTTCCCTGTGTCTGTCTGTCTCCAAATTTCCACCTTTTTTAAAAGACACCAGTCATATTGGATCAGGGGCCCACCATGCTCCAGTATTACCTCATCTAAATTAATTATATCTACAATTATCCTAATTCCAAATAAGGTTACATTTTGAAGTACTGGGGGTTAGGACTTCAAAATAATTTTAATTTTGGAGTGGTACTAAATATAATACACATTAGGCACACAATAGGCATGAAATATTTTATTATTGTTAAAATTTTGTATTAATCAGGGTTCTTCAGAGAAACAGAACCACTAGGCAATAGATAGATAGATGTCTTCTATATGTATCACCTTTATATATCTATTTATATATTGATATGTATGTATATGCCTCCTATTGTTTCTGTTTCTCTGGAGAAACAGAGAGAGAGAAAGGGATACTATAAAGAATTGGCTTGTGCAATTATGTGGGCAAAGAAGTCACAAGATCTACAATCAGGAAGCTGAAGACCCAGGAGAGCCAATGGTATAATTTCATTCCTTGTCCAAATGACTGAGAACCAAGAGAGCTGACAGTATATAAGTTGCATTCTGAAAGCCAGCAGGCTTGTGAACAAAGAAGAACTAATTTTTCAATTTGAGTTCAAAAGCAGAAAAAGACCAATGTCCCAGCTCAAGCAGTCAGGCAGATGAAGTTCCTCTTAATAGCCCCCAGGTCTCCAATTGGCTGGATGAGCCCCACCCACATTAAAAAGGAAATCTGCTTTACTCAGTCTACCAATACAAAGGTTAATCTCATCCAGAAACACTATCACAGACACACCCAAATAATGTTTGCCCAAATGTCTCAGCACTCCATAGCCCAGTCAAATTCACACATAAAATTAACCATCACAAATGTGCACTTTAATATAAATAAAATTGTACAATTTTGACATGTTTATTAATCATTTTTTTCCTTATTTTGTGAATTGCTTGCTTATGTCCTTTGCCCATTGTTCTAATGGAGGACCCATTTAAAATCTCTGTGCTTGATTAATTAAAAAGCCATATAACAATTAATAAGCATGTTGAGAGCAGATATAAGCACCAATTATTCAAAACTATTTTTATTTTCAAATATCATCTTCCAGTGATTTTTCATTATGAAAGCTCATTGTTGCATGGTAGCGGCCATAATATATAATGTTGTATTATGGTTTTTTGATTTATTTTACATCAAATATTAAAATATCATTTAATATCCTATTCTAAAATAAAAGTAGGGAGGAGAAGGCAATTTAAAGAGGACATTTGCTGAGACATAATCCAAGGTTAAAAGAAAGTTTGTAGTTTTATTATGTTTCTTTCTCCCTCTACTTCCTCGATAACTGTTTTTGTCCCTCATACTGCTTTGTTATTCACTCCACAAATGGTTTAGGGCAGTCCAAGATTAAATAATACAGCAAAGCCACCAGCTTTGACTCCTTCAGTAAGTGCTCACAGTGGGCAAGGAACTTGCACATTGGAAAAATATAAGCAGGGCACGCTGTTAGCCCCTTAGCAGTGCTGACAGTTTGTGTAAACTTTGACAAGGCAAGGCAGATTGTCTTCTCAGATATAACTTGGCAAATTTTGCTCACTACAAATGAGTACTACATATACTAATTTGAATGGAGTTAGGCCCAGAGTATAAGATTCTGGAAAACAGTGTTTCATTTAAATGAAAAGAAAGTCATATCCAATCAGGTCCTGAAAGTCACACACATAGCAAAGGATCTTTCAGATATACAGAGCCCAGCCTGCCTGAAAGGCTGCCTCTCTCCAAGGGCCTCAGGTTATTTCCCTTACACCCTAAACAGTTATTTCTTGAAAGACACACCTGCAGACCAGCTTGAGGCGATTTTTCTTGAGCATGGCAGACTAGGGCATTGGGAAAAAAGCTGCACTTAGTATTAGAGACCTAGAAAACTAGGAAAGGAGAGTGACTTTCTCAAGTTTATACCTGTAATGAGTACTGGGACAAGGATACTGGTCTTCTGTTTACTAATGTGTTTATTTAGCTATCTGTTCTTTTACAAATAAAGAACTACCTCACTCATGACTTGTAATATATGTCAAATACTAAGCTCAATGCCTAGCATATAGTAACAAATTGATAGTTGCTAGTGACTGGCATTACTATTATTAACAAGCATAATTACATTTTCATGATTGTAGAAGAGCCTTTCCTTCCCCATTTCATAGAATCATATAAATGTTAAAACTCCAGGGTCTTAAGAGAGTAGTAATACAATTTGCTAATCTTACAGATGAAAAATCTGAATGCTAGACCTGGTCAAATCACCCAGTCAGTTAGTTAGTTGTGGAACCAGAACTGGAAGCCGAGCTTCCTAGCCCTCAGCTCTTACTACTCCATCCCTCTCTAATTTCACTTTTGGCCTGGCTCATTCCCTGACAAGCAACTCTTACAGGCTAGGTGTTCCCAGTGCCCACACCTCTGCTTCCTTTCAACTTTTCTAAAGGTTCCTCCAAAGAAAGAGAGTAAAGCCTCCTTCATTTTTACTCCTGATCCATGCTCATTCCTAGCAGGGTAAGGTGTGTCCATCCTGACCTCAATTCTCATCATAATTCCCTTGGTCATTTCATCAGCTACAGCAGCTTCCTTCTCCAGTTCTGTCTCCTTTTCCTCATTACCTGTGCCCTACCGTATCTGTCAGAATAATCTATGTATCTGGACACAGGATTGCTCATCCCAATTTTCATTTAAAATAGATTATTTTCCCAAAGGCAGTAGCCAATGTCTTATGAAGGAAGAAAGAACAGTTTATTCTCTTTCTGCTTGATTAACAGATTCACAATCATCCCTATTAAGAGCACCTAATCAGAGGGCTTTGATATCTTGCTTCTCCATTTGCTTCCTAAAATGGAATCCATATAAATATACATCTTCCCTGGTACAGTCTGGACGAACAAACCACAGAGAATAATTATTAAAGTTTGGAAGGAATCATAGGTTCTCATCTTCTTGTGTCATAGATAGAGAAACCGAAGCCCCGAGGGGTTCAATGACAGCTTCTTGGACCCAGGAATTGCATGATTGAGTTTACTGGATCACACACTAGGAGAATTGGTAAACAAGCCTTAGAAGTTTGATACTTCAGAAACATCTGCAATATTATTTTTCTTTTCTGGATATAAGTGAGGAAAGAGGAGGCAATATGACAGGCTGGCAGTAACAACGGAAAGATATGGCAGCTCCTCTGGAAGAGATCAAAGGGGTATTTCTGCCCTACCTTCCTCTGAGTTTTTAATATACTGTGGGAAAGGGAAACAAGGGCAGCACATCCCAAAGAGGAAGCGTCTGGATCACAGGTTTTGGAAAGGAGTACAATCTCTATTTCCTGAGCTTTCTGGGAAAGCTGGAACACATGTGCCTGAATAAGAATCAGCTTAAAAAGCCAAGTTCATCACCAGGGAATGTGGGTTTGCCTTATTTATGACCACTGAAGTTGTGTCAGTAAGCAGAATGATAATTATGAGTACAGCCTATACCAGGGTCCAAAAAAAAGTCATACACACACACACACACACACACACACACACACACACACACACACTCCCACACATATCAATGCCTTTTCCTTTCTGGTCATTGTATTTGTCTGTTTAACATTCTTAGAGGTAGCAAAAAGTTAGGGAACAGTTCTGGGACATGGACCTGAGTGTCCCATATGACATATTCATAAGGGCAAACACCAGATGAAAGCAATGCATATTTCATTAAACTAGTATACAAGGGACTTGAATGAGAAAGAATACTCATAAATGTCATAGCTAAATATGAGACCATGGACATGGAAGGACTAAAGCCCAGGTTTGAGTATACAGTCCAAGACACAAAATCTATTTCTTTTTCCTTTTTACCTAGTTACTCCACTTTTGTCTTCAGCTTTTAGAACTTTGCTCTGCAGTATACTGTCTATGTAAATCACAAAAGATAAAACTTCTACATTAAATAGGTCTAATTCAGGATCATAATAAAATAAGAAAATAATTCAGGATCATAATAAAAGTACATATGTACAGGAAGAGAGCAGATTGAACAAACTCATGTCAAAAACATGTTTTTAAAGGCATAAAGCCACAACATTTGGAAAAACAAGTGAGGACACAACAGTAACAAAATTTGGGGAACTGGAAAGCTGATGGACAAGCAGGTGTAAAAGCTTTTAGGAGATGTAAGAACACTGAATCTGAAGAGAGCAATAAGGAAAGAACATAATGTGCATCGACTTACATAACAAAATTCCCAATGGCAGCATTATGTACCTCTAGAAGTGGGGGAGAGTAGGGAAAAGGAAAGATCCCAAATAAAGAAGATGAGTTTAAAATCTATTTAGGAACCAATTACATCCCTATATACACTCCTTTGTTCCTTAAAACTTCTTCCACTCACCCCAGAACATTATTGGAGATTTATTTTCTGGAAAGTTCAAAAGTAGGGTCTTTGTGCCTGGTGTGTTCTAGGTCCGTCAAGATACTGAACAGACTTCTCCACAGACTTCTTTCTCACATTGCTCTCAGAATTCCAGTCACCATGCCTTCACCCTCAAGGCAAGCTACTAGAAGACTCTTCTCTATGGAATATGGCCAACCCAAGAGGAAAGTCCTAATCAAAATTCCCCCCCAAAAAATGGCCCAGGTAGATAACCCTATGGTGACATTCACAGTTGACAAATCCCACTCATGCTAAAAGCTTCTAATCAGCTTTCTAGTGTCCCTCTTGTAAATGTAAACAGACAGCCAAGGATCACCAGGTAAGCAGGAAAAAAAGCAATTAGAGGAAACAAGTACTTTGTTTAACCTTTCTTCTTCCTGCATAATCTATCAAGACCTCACAGAGCTGAAAATATAATATAACCATGAAAAAAAGAATAGGACAAAGAGGAACAGAGATTTAAAAAAAGGAATTTTAAAAATAAAAATACAAATACAGGCATATATATATATATATATATATATAAAACATTATAAGTATACACATAAATGCATACATTTAATTATATACACCCAAGGTTTTCTCTAATTCTGTCCTTGTGGTCCATGCCCAGTGACTGCTGTATGATTAGGTACTATAGAAAGTAAGATTGCTTCTACAAAGTCCAAGATGCATCCTGTGTGTACTAAATTACAGTCCACTAAAATAGTTTTCTTATAATGATACTATAATATATACCATTTGTTGAATAGCTACTATGTACTAAGAATTAAACTGGATACCTTTTATACATTTTTTTCAATTAATGCTCACAATCCTGCAAGGTAGTATTATTAGAGAGGTTAAGTAACTGCCTGGCACTTGGCTAGTAAGTGCTAGAGTTGTGGTATAAACCCAAATCTGCCCAAGTCCAAACCCTTTGGAAAGCAACATGGGTATTATGATTTCCATTCAATGGCTGTCTCCATTACCAGCAGATTTAGAGTCTTTGCTTAGGTCCAGCTTGGCTTGTCTGCCTTTGTCATATTCTTTTGTCACTCTCTTCCTCACAGTCTTTTGAACACAAAATATCTTATTCTTGGTTAAAATAATGCTATCATTTTAACACAAATATATATATATATATATATATATATATATATATATATATATATAATTTTTGAATTTATTTTCCTCAGTTTATTATTTCTCTTTTCCACCAAAGATTTTTTTTTTTCACAACTGTGTCTAGGCACATAGGCCTGACGAACTCTGGCATGGATTTTAAATCTTGTTATTCAGAGCCCATATTTGTCATCCTTTCTGCTGAGCGGGCCATTCTGATAATTGTTTGCCTTTTTAAACTGCTGAGTCAGCCCCAGAGAGAACTGGCCATCTGTCAGCCTAGTAGTAGAAGCATAAAATCCAGGTTAAGACATCAGTTCTGCCCATTTAAAGGCTATTATAAATTAGGGATTTATTCATATAAAGCTTTCAGAGTGGTATAGGCTTCTTGGTGGCATGAGTCTTGTTTCTATGGAATATAGCAGGGAGATTATCATATCCTATTTGCTCTCTGACCTTCTCACTTTTTGGCCACTTCTGGAGCCTCGTAGGACCCTGCTTCCTAAAAGGGTGGCAGTATCTGACCCACAGCTTTATAGGGCCTCAAAATAAATTTTCTCAGTACACACAGATAATGAGCCTTTGAGAATTGAGTCATATTGACCCACTACCCAGATATCTTCTGAGGACAGACAGTATTAGCCATATTATCTTGGTACTTGCTAGCTTCTGTCATAGAGGCTAGTTTGCTCTTCATTCTAAAATTTACTGTGATTTTAGACTTCTGCCTGTATAACCCCTGACTTCAGGATCCCTCTTGCATACTTTTGGGATTAATGAAAGAGGGTGTTATAGGTAATGCCCTACTTAACAAACACATTAAAGTATGATTTTAACCTACTCTGTTTAGCACAAAAATTTGAAGAATTTCTCAAAGATTGGTCTATGAGACACTTATATCATGATAATATGGGAAACTTGGATTTTAAGTCAGGGTTCCATGTAAGCACAGCCTAATACAAAAGGTATTCTTATTTGTTTGTTTCTGAGACAGAGTCTTGCTCTGTCACCCTGGCTAGAGTGCAGTGATATCATCATAGCCTCAAACTCCTGGGCTCAAGTGATCCTCCTGCTTTAGCCTCCCAAATAGCTGGGACTACAGGTGGGTGCCTCCACACTTGACTAATTTTTCTATTTTTAGTAGAAATGGGGTCTCACTCTTGCTCAGGCTGGTCTCGAATTCCTGACCTCAAGCAATCCTCCCACCTCAGCCTCCCAGAGTTCTATGATTACAGGCATGAGCCACTGTGCTAGACCAAGGCAAAAGTTTTGATACAGGTAGTTTCTTAGGGAATTGAACTCAGGGAGCAGGATTGAGCACTTTAAAAAAAATAAAAGAGAAGGCAGACAAAAGAACACAAGTATGCATTATCAAGTTGGTCCCTTCTACTGATGACTGGTGTTTAAATTTGAAGAGATGTCTAAAGACCTTAATGGAATGGGGTCTCACACCTATTAACCTGAAGATGAGAGAAAGAAGTTTTAATCCATTGGATCTCATCTTTTATTGATTAAGGGTTACTTTATTGGTCAAGGGTCACTGGACCAATAAAAGAGTGTTAACTCTTCCATATTCTGAATTACTCACTTGTTACTGCTAAGTAGGCTCCAGCAGCCATTCCATGCCATTGTGTCAGAGAAACCTGGGGTAAGAAGCAAGAAATATGAGGTGCTGACTTGGGGTGAGGTGCTATCCAGGTGTACCTATGTGAAACAGACAGAAATCTACTTAGAACTGTTTACCATCAAGGCTACTAGAACCCAAGATGGGTCCAAAATTATAGGCAAAAGCTTAAGGGATTTTGATACAGCATGAGAAAATGCCAGTTCCTGGTTATCATCCATTGTTATGGGTAGAATTGTGTCCCCTTAAAGTTCATATGTTGAAGTCCTAAACACCCAGTACCTCAGAAGTGATGTTTAGAAATGAAGAATTTCTAATTCTAAATTTAGAAGTGAAATTTAGAAATAGGGTCATTGCAGATATAATTAGTTAAGTAATTCTTAACTTTCTTAAATTGGAGTAGGGTGGGCTCCTCATCCAATATGACTGGTGTCCTTATAAAAAGGGGAAATTTGGACACACACACACACAGGGAAAATACCACATGATGCTGGAGTTACACTGCCACAAGTCAAGGAACTACCACAAATTAGGAAGTAGATCTGGAACAGATCTTTCTCTAGCACTTTCAGAGGGAGAGTGACCATGCCAAAACCTTGATCTTAGGTTTCCAGCCTCCACAACTGTGAAACAATAATTTCTGTTATTTAAGCTGCCTAGTTTATGGTGATTTGTTAGAGCAACCCCAGGAAACTAATACACTCGTGATCCATTGGCTCACAGTCCCTGGGGGTATGGTCTATACTTCCACACTGCTAACAAAGTTTGCAGGTAGTTCTATGTGCCCTCCAAGTTTAAGAAACCTTGTCTAGGGTGAAATAAATATTGTAGTATCTGAACCCCAGGGAGAGTGAATCCAAAACAGCATGCTTTTGTCCAAACACTCTTCTGAAAATCCAAAACAATACATTGGATGCAGAACACCACCTTTCATGTGGGGAAGGAATTCTCATTCCAAATGTCAACTCACATAGCACACTTTACGTCATGGTAGTTACTCAAAATCAGAAGCTGCAAAAGTGGTAAAGGAATAGCTACAACTTCACTTCCACCCCAAAACATTTGTACAGAAAAAAGTGGATAAATAAAGAGACACAATGCCCCCATACCTTCTCAACCCCTATCAAAATATGGATATTTACATGCACATGTGATGCCTTATTGTGAAATAAATAGGAACAAAATGAAAACCATGCTTGGAAAAGGTAGCACATTATGAACCTGTTATTTCAAAATGTAATAGAAGTGTTCGGTACATGTCAATGTTAAAGAAAATACAGAGGAAAGAAGATACAGTTGGGAACACTAAACAGGAAGCCATTGAAACCATCAATAACTGCCTATTCCACCTTTATAAAGAGTGAAACCACTTAAGAGCAGAAATCAGGTCTCTCCTCCTCTCTAAGAGTAGACACATGGTAAGTGTTTGCTGAGTGCAGAAACATTGAACAATTTCTGAGACACAGAGTTCCTGCTCTTAGTGGACCCTGATTCTTGCTCTAGTCTAATGATTCCTCTATTATTTTTCAATAACTCTGTGCATCTCTTGGGCACTATGCTTAGGGCTGAGATATAACTTGAAAGGATATGACTTTGAACTTTGGCTTTGGTTTGCTTCACCTACTAGTGACTTCTTCCAACAGACTGTAGTTCATGCTATGCCAGCCTACCCCAGCACCAATGCCAACTGCAGTGAATGAAGTATCTACTATTCCTTGGCAATTTTCCATTGATCTCTGGTGTTAGGCACTCA